CAGGTTTAGATAAGATAATACCTGCCTATGACGCATTCAGGAATGTGACAATATAAAACTAATATATGAAATCATTTCTATATATTGTTTCTCCTTTCAATTTTTCCTTTCTACTTATCAGGACGCGCGGAATAGCTTTACATATACCATTTTGTTTGATTATGTAAAGAGCAGATTTGACAACACTAATGTATCACGCAGTCACTCCGTCGTTTCAAATTTCCAATCTCACTTATCATCAAATGATATCCAACAGCAAACTTCCTCTTCTGCTATCTAATCTTAATCTCGTCTGGGCCGCATTATCTTTTACCGTCAGACTCAGATATTACTTGAAGCAAGATATGAAATTTCAAGAAACATTGGAGAACATAATAATATAGCAATTACATTAGTATTGAGAAAATTGACAGTGCCTACAGTATCTACAGAGTAATGGTGAGGATGACAAAGAAACATAAAGTACTTTGTTACTTAGTTAACTTGAAAAACGAACCACCTTATGGTGCAGAGGCTTGATCTCCCTTCGTCAGTTATATCATTCTGCACAACAGCCCTCCTCTTTTTTTTGGAAACTGGCCTCTCCCTCAGGATAGTTCATTGGACAGAGATAAGCAAAAAGGAATATGGAGGTGATCTGGTTGTTGGTCTGGTCTCTGCCAGAGAGATTCATCTACCTATGTGGTGACCGTGGACAGCACTGTGAAGTCCTTGAGGCTGATCGATGCTATGAATAACATATCAATTAATGATTAAACTGTCATGCTTACAGCTAAGGTTACTAGCAATATATTCACTGGATGTGCGAACAATGTAGCATAGCTAATTATAGGTATAAACATCAATATATTTTCATTGCATTAATATAAATTTCTACTATATTTATAGTATTAATGTTGACATCACTAAAAGACACTCTTAAACTTCCACTACTACTAGGTGTGTGGAGTCTAAGCTGTTAAGAGCTGACAATACACGGCAGAAGTTGTCACCACTCCGCCCTCGGCAGACGAGGAGACGGGCCTCACATCTGCCTTCCACAGTAAACCCACGAGTTAGACCCCTTCCATTCACCTGCACTAAGACCACCCTCTCTCGTTGATATTTGATGGCAGCGGTGTCCTCGAATCTCTCAACGTCAATTTACCGACGCTCTGCTGCCAAGAAACATCTGTCGAAATGCCTCCTCGCTTCCCTTAAGACCCACCCATCGCTACCAAGTCCTCTGCTGATCCACGCCAACCTGACCATTCACGCCTGTGCTACCTTCCTGACGTAGTCGCTGTTTCTTCGCGAACCCTTGTCAGCACAGTCGCAGTTCTTCCCAGCACTAGCAATACTTCCTTGTCTTAATAAAGAGAGTGTGCCTATTAGCGCCAGATTTACTATTGCCCTCCCTGCCCTTTCGTGAGAGATAGATATCCGGCAGAGGGCACTGTCACGAAATTAAGATTAAATTGAATCGTGTGGTTGTGCAGTGCATATCTGAGCCAGGAAGCTTACAGAGATTTTTTTATGTCACCATTCACTAATACGTACATTCCGTTTCATATTATATATTGAGTTCAGTGTGGCAGTTGAAATGATTGTGTATTAATGTCATTTGCTAATTATTGCATTGTTCTTAATATCAACGTTATTATTCATGTTTGTGATTCGTTCATTGTGAGCTCACTCTCATTCATGCTTACTTTCACTCACACACACACACACATATATATACACATCCAAGGCCACCGAGCCGAATACACATTTGTCACTACGAATAATTGTAAAAAAGGAGGTGCCTTCGTCTGCCTGGTTAATATGTCAGGTCAATGCTCCGTTGCAGTCTTCCGTCCTTGGATCTCTGACTTAGAGGCGCATTGCCTGCGCATATTAACAGTCTCGAGAGCTAGGAAGATGTCCGGCAAGTGTCCCACATCAGGTCAGGCCAGCGGAAGTAGACAAAAAAAAAGAGAAAAAAAACTGGTCTGACAGGCCCTTAACAAGGTAGTTTTGGGGGTTCATCTTGATTGTATACGATTAAAACGGTCAGACGTGACCCCGCCGCGGCACCGAACACTCTGCCTACAAGGGTCACCTGCAGGCCTTAAATATCCGAGCGTTGGCTTGGAGACGAGGGTAGGTCGCGTCCCCCCAAGCCACGCTTGGGCGGCGTGGGGACGCTTCGCTGGACGGCTTGGCGTGGCCGCCACGTGGTATGCATACAGTATATTGTATACAGTCCTACTCCCCAAGATATAACTCACTGGCAGTGAAACAAACAATTGGAAATGATGGGGGATGACGTAATGCCCCTCAAACCCAGCTAGTGAGGCAGGCTGTGGATCCGATTGGGAAGGCAATTGCTGGGGCACAGGATGAAAACGGAAGTTACTCATCCCGCCTGTACCCTGGCAGCTGCCAACCCAGTATATATATATATATATATATATATATATACATATATACACACACATATATACACCTCTCTCTCTCTCTCTATATATATATATATATATATATATATATATATATATATATGTGCATGTATGTATGTATGTAAGTATATATATATGAATGGTGAAAACACTCTACCGTGTTGATACTATGGTATAAAAAAAACACAATGTAAAACGATATTTACTGAAAGGGAGACAACAGTTTCGGAATCCACCTGGATTCCATCCTCAGGTCTGAAGAGGAAAGGGAGAGGAGGGGGTATAAAAGAGAGAGACGACGATTGCGATTTGCAAGGTTCTAGCTTCGGTCGGGTCTTCGGCTATGGCTCGGCCAGAGAGATAGAGGAAAGGCAACACGGGGCAGGTGAGGACAGACGAAGGAAGCGAAGGGAGGCAGAGGATGTGGGAAGCGAGGGGACTATCTGCAGGAGAAAAGACGCTGTTCAGATTGAAATTAGGCAGCAACTTTATTAAGGAGGATTCCACCAGTCTGCAGGCATGGACGTCAGCGGAAGGAAAGACCATTCGCGCCACTGACCAGTCTATACATTATACTGTATACAAGACCCATGCCACGAGGCATCCCCACACCAAGCCGAAGCGACCTACCCACGTGACCTAGCCGCGTCCCCTACGCACAAGCGGCGTGCCCACAGCGTGGCTTGGGCACACCTACCTACCCTCGTCTCCCGCCTCGGATACTTAAGGCCGCGTTTTGACCGGTCAAAGAGTGTGACCGCTGCTGGCTGACCCAAGGTCGGCAGTCTGGCCGGCTCAGGTCAGGGCTGACCGTCCCCTCCCAGCTGACCGCGCGATACCCAAGGGTCATACTTGTGTTAACATCTCGTGTGCTTGCTCTTATAGAATAAAGAGTTTTAAGCCCCTAAGCTTTTATTACTTTCTGTCACCAATGTTTAGAGGTCCCTTATACACCTTACATTCTGGTGACAGCGGTGGTTGTTGGGCACCAGGACGAGTCGACTATCCACTCCTTCCCACCGTCTTACAATCTGGTGGCAGAGGTGGTAGTTGTGTCCTTTTGGCACACAACCGAACAAGTTCCTTCGAAGAAAAACCGCTCGGCTTCGAAGAACGCAAGATGACACATCTTGAAACCTTGAGTACACATTTATGGGCCCCTTTCTCTTTTCATTTCTTTTCTATTTTTTCCTAAATGTGTTAGGCCGTGTACAGCCAGCTCACGTCATTGTTTTGGGTTAAAGTGCTAATTACAGCAATGGCTAGCTCTCACTCTCATTTCTCATTTTCTTGACCTCACTTCTCATTAAACAGTATGAAATTGTTCATTTATTAAGCGTCTATTTATTTTTTTTTCGTGATTAAATTATATTGTTTCAATTGTATCGAATTTGGCGCGTTCGTGAATTTATTCTTTATATGTCGCTGTCGTGTTGGGTAAAATCCCATCGGTTCGTGATTCATGATAAATCCCCGCAGGGCATTTCATGAGCGCCCATCATAGATCCACAGATAGAGTGGGTAATTTATAGATTTTCCCAGCTCGTTTAAGCTTCATAAAATACGGCAATTTTTGGGTCACGTCCCCCCGTCAAATGAAGTCTGCATGTTCGGTAAAGAGACCTGCTTCCTCGGGGAAATTCCCGAGAAGATTTGCTCGCAAAAAGGCTTGCGAATAATTTTCATGTCACCATTCATTAATGCGTCATTTTGTCGCATATCATTAAATGTTAAATTCAATGTGGTACTTGGAATAATTCTGAATTACGTCTTTAAATTATGGTAAATATGAACTTTACTCAGCGTGTTGGCAACTCTACTGCTATAGGAGGTCACTCTTACTCTTACTCAAACAAGCCCACATACTCACTCACTCACCGACACAACACAAAAGACACTGAAACCTTCATTAATAGGATTTGCTGCTGTCTTAGTTGCAGGCATACGTATTTGTTTGCCGCAATATTGTTAGTCGTGATGCGTGAATTGTACATGATTTTGTATTTACATACTTTCCTTTCTGTTTCGACATTTGCTTCAAGTAATTCCTTGTGGAATGCCAATTGTCGTTTCCCTTACTTTAGCATTTCACGAGATGATGGTAGCTCAAAAGGATCCTTGCGGATTGCTATCGCCGTCTCCCTCTCCTATTTTCTTCTTTTAACTTTTAACTTTGTGAACACGAAACACAAAATGAAAAAAAGACGAAAATAACGAAAATTCAACTTTAAAAACTCCAAATTATGAAACAAAAAAATCGGCTTTTAGCATTTAACACCTCTTCTCTGTCGTTTTTCCTTCTCTCACTATCTGGCCCATTATGTGTTATTCTGGTTCCCGATATCTGAAACGGCACCGTAGGAGGCCCTGCTGCAGAAACGGTCACCTTCGGAAGCCATTAGAAAACGTCATCGGAGATCGCCGCTCGCCAGGACACCCGAGATCCAGTGAAAACAGCAGCTCGCCAGTAGGGGTTCGCCGTCCTATGATGCTGTGGACGATCCTGCCTGGACGCCGCAGACCCAGTCAAACTCCAGGAGCTCATTAGTGCAGGTATCAGCCGCCCTACGATGTCGA